GTGAAGGGAGACGTCGGACAGTGTAAGACATGACAAAATAATAATTTATAAATTATTATTTGTGAGGGAGGGAGGGGAAAAATGAGGAGTTGATACCAAGGGCTCAAGTAGAAAGATAATGTTTTGAAAATGATATGCTTGTCACAATGGATGGCTATATGGATTGTTACAAGAGTTGTATGAGTCCCCAATAAAATGTTTGGTTTTTTTTTAAAAGGCCCATGGGTCTCATGTTATCCTAGAAGGTTTGGGGACCAGGAATGGATTCCCCGATTATTTATGAATTCTACATTTGCGTGTATTTCTGGAAAGCGCAGGGTGTATTCTGAAAGGCTGTCTGAAGCGTTTGGATGAACTGTTGGTCTCTTCTAAACTGTGCTGTCCTCAGCCCCAACCCTAGAATCCATTTTGTAACGTCACCCGCCTCAAGTAAGTAGGACTTTAGTTTTCACTTTTTAATTTTGAATTAGGTACGTGTTGGTATCAGATAATCATTTTTGCATTCAACCCCTTAAATAAATAACTGATTGAACCTCCCAATGGATTACCCTGCTTATTTTGAATTCTTGGGGATGTTCAGGTTGCTAACAGTCCGCCAGCTTTGTCGCTAAACCTCCGCGCTGCGCTGCCTTGCCTCTCTCCATGTTCTCCGTGTTTACCCTCGAGAGACTAAGTAACCTATCGGTTTAGAAGTCAGAGAAATAACTCCACCTTGCTCTGTGAAGCTCTAGCTCTGTGACATTGGATTGGTTATTTCGCGTTTTTAAGAATAGTTTTCCATATCTACAAAAGAGGATCGCGGTTTTTACCACTAGGGGGCGCTGCAGAGGTAATACCTGCGGAGCGGCACAGGGGAATCGCTCAATAAATGAAATTTACAAAAACCTCACTGCCGTCACTGGACAGTAAAGAACCTACAAGTGGGTAATGGGCTGGCGAAAGGGAGAATTCAAGGGGTAGGAGATATTTTAAAATAATTTTGTTGTGATAAAATATGTATAACGGGAATTGTGATTTTAGCCCTTTTAAACTGTTGAATTCAATTACATCCCCCTGTTGAGCAACCAGGAGCCCTGGCAGTATAGTGCTTACATTGGGCTTTGATCCACATGGTCGGCAGTTCGAAACCACCAGCTACCAATACTGGCTGAAAGACTGGGCTTTCTTCTCTTATAAACAGTTAGTCTCAGAAATCCACAGAGGTGGCAGTGAGCACATATTGACTGGATGGCAGTGAATTTGGAGTTGTGCAGCCAGCATGACTATCTAGCTGCAACAGTTTACCCAAGTGCAACCTGAGGATGTGAATGTTGTTGGGTGCCTCCAAGTGGGTTCCTACTCATAGCGACCCCCTGTGACCGAGCAGGACTGCCCAATAGGGTTTCTTGGCTGTAATCTTTACAGA